GTCTGAATCAAAGTTGTAGCCAGATGAGGTAGCTTTCCAACACATTTTGAATCGCCTCAATCGGATATCGGAATTCAGAGTTATGATAAAAATACTGAAAGAAGGTGCAACTGCCTGTTTAAAACAAGAAATTCCGTTAGTTTTTCCGTTAAACCAATAAATTCCGTTAGTTTTTCCGTTAAACCAACAAATTCCATTAGATAGACACTTTTTATATAGAAAGAGATATTACTATTAATCACACGTTACGTAGGATTTGTAATTACTGCTCATTTAGTATTATTATAAGTGCTTTTGCTGTTTGGGAAGAGTTTTTGGAAAAAGTCACATTCTACCAACATTTTCTAAAAGCTCTTCTAATTAAAAAAATAATTTCATAAAATTAGTTGAATGGATGCTAAATTATCTTTTTTGTCTCAAAACATTATTTTGACTTCTTAAAAATCATGCTAAACGGGCCATTTGACAATAACGTGATTTAAAAGTGACATATTGTGTTACCGTTAAAACAAGAAGTTTTTAAACTAATTTTTTGTTACGTTGGACAATAATTAAATTAGTTTAAAACTTTCTTGCACATCTAATTTGCAATAATTCAATTCTTTTTTTTTTTGTTAAATTAGTTCAATTCTTTCTCTCATTACATAATTTGATTTAAAACAATATTTTTTTACTTTCAAAAGACTGTCATTTGATTTTTCAAGGAACCCCTACTTTTAAGTTCCTATTTGTCTTCAATTTTTACAAAACTCTTTTTTTTTTTCCATACTCATTTTCAACCGCACATTCGTGTAATAAGCTATTCTACACGTAAACTAATTTTTTTTTTTTTACGTTTTAACCACACGTTCTTTAAAAATTCACTATTCAAAACAATGTTTTTCCAAAAAATTGGCCACCAAACAAGGGTTAAGGGTATTTGTGTAAGATATTCTTTTTTAAACTTCATTTTCAATTGCATGTGTTTTAAAGTATAATTATACTCACACAACATTTTTTTTATATCTCCACCACATTTTTAACTACGAGAAAGGTTTTCAATATTTGTTCACTTTCGCTTTTATGTCCTCAACTTTTTTCTCATCGTATTGTCATTCTTAACCTTCAATTAATTAACATATCTTATCTCTGATCACGATTTTCATCCAAATATTCTAATAACATGCATTGAAAATATGGGCAAATATTTTTTTTCCGCCTCCACAATAAACATTTTGGAAGAAAATCATCTCTATAGATGATACGTGAAAATTAATAGAGCGTAAATGATAAAAAAAAAAAAAATGAGAACACAAGTGTAAAAATAAGAAAAATTTAGAGATATTCTTCACATTTAAAATGTAGTGTAGTTAACAAAAATTGTGGTGTGAATATATTTATATTTCTCTAAATAAAAAAAAAAATGTTAGACCTGTAAATTAGAAATCTTTATATTAATTTTTTAATCGTTCTCAAAAAAAAAAAAAAAACAAAAAATCATTTTCTACAAAATTCATTATTAAAAAATGGGGGTTAAACAAGAGCCTTATCTGAATTTTCTAAATTTATTTTAGTTTAAACTACATATTTTATAGGTCTTACAGTTTTTATCAACTTTTCAACTACATATTTAATCAACTTTTATCAAAATCGATTAAGATTACGATTTATAGCTAAACCAAACATAAACTAAGAGCATTTCTAATAAGCTTTCTAAAATATAAAATGTTAAAGAGTCGTTGCTTAAAAGCAAGTTCCAATATGCTCTATTTTAGCTTTTTAAAATAGAGTATGTTTAATTTTCCAAATTTCGATAGCTGAATCCACTCTCTATTTTTAATGTTATTGCATTTAGCTTGTGTTTGACACCCATTTTGGAGAAAAAATGAATTCTAGAATAGTAATTAATGAAAGAATATGTGGTTGCAAAGTTTTAAATTCGTGTGTAATATTATTTTATTTGTAGAATGTGTGGTTGAAATGAAGAAGAAGAAACAAAAATGAGAATGAGAATTGGCGTCAAACAGGGCCTTAGTATATTACATATTCTAATACTCTATTATTTAAATTATTTGAATCACATTTGTATTGATCGATCATTGACATGTAAGAAATATGTTAAATAAGATATGAGAATAAATTAAAGAACTTTTCTTGAAAAAAGCAATATAAAGAGTCATAATAGAAAGTATCGTTAGTGTATAAATTTTTTATCTCTCTAAATTTAAATACGTTTTCTATTATTCATAAGATGTTATTTATAAATAGTGTCTCTTGAAAGTATTCCAAGTCCTTGCTTGATTCAATTAAAAAATATATTAAAATTTTAAGTTAAAATCAACAATAAATTTTAAATACAAATTTCATAGGATCCACAATTTTTCATCATATATTCTATTGACTTTTATTAAAATATTCTAAAAACCTGATTTTTATCTAAACCAAACAGGACTAGATTTCATTTACCAATAGCTATTGAAACAACACTTGTCATTAATATTAAACCAATGTTCTCAAATGTTGTAATGCATGACAATGTGTTTAAGCTCTTGTTTGACACAAATTCTTTCAAAA